ATATATATATATATTTTTTGGTACCAGGGATCAAACTCAGGTCCTTGCGCTTGCGCAGCAGGCTGCAAAACCCCTGAACTAAATCCCTGGCCCTGTATATATATATTTTTGAAACAGGGTCTTGCTATGGTAGTTCAGGTTGGCCTTGAACTCACTATATAGCCTAGGCTGGCCTTAAACTCACAGTGATCCTCCTGTCTCAGCCTCCTGGGTGTTGGGATTACAGGTGTGCACTACCACGCCTGGTTTGTATATTCTTATGTTTAAACTTTTTCCTTATTTATTTGTAATGCAGTAAATACTGACAAACATAAGCAAACATTCTGAGATCCTTAGTGATTTTTTAAGAGTATCAAATGAGGTGCTTGCTTTGGCAGCACATATACTAAAGAGTACAAATGAGTCCCGAGATACAGTTTTAAAACTGTCTAGAGGTCTTACTGAATTATTTAACCTCTCAAATGCTGGGCAGGTAGATTATTTTTATAATTTGTCATAAGCAACTTTGCGATGCAGTACTTTTGTTAGTTCTGCAAGGGTAATATCAGTTATCTTGACAGAATAATCATTGAAATATTGCTAGGGCAATACAAGAAAACTGTAGCAGTTTCCAGTGAGAGAAATGGTGTTCATTGTTGTTGGTTTTCAACAGTGTGGTCCTGGGCTTAGGGCGTCCCCCGGTGGCGGAGTGGCCACACTGGGGCTGGGTTGGCACCAAGATTGGGAACAGCCAGGGAAAGGGCCGCCAGGGAGACCGAAGGGAGTGCCAGGGACTGACCCAGAGGGATCCAAATGCTGCCTCTGAGAAGCTCCGTGAGCTCAGGACAGTCAGGGCAAGGACTCCAGGCAGTGAGTGCGGCAGCCAGCGAGTGACTGGAAGTGGTAACCTTGACAGAGACCTGGAAAAAGTGAAAGCAAAAACCATGCAGAAGCCCTGGGCGAGACAGCACTGGCCCCAGCTGGTTTCTTCCCTGTGGAGCTGTGGCCGGGTAGAGTCCAGGAGGTGCTTGGAGAACACCTGAGGCCACGTCTGGGATGTGCCCAGTCCCCAGAGCCGGGTCCCGGGGCTCTTTCGTCTCCTGTAATCTGTGCTCGCACCAAGAAGCTCTTCCCAGGCAGCCTTCACTCTTTTAGGTTCAATTCCAGGCCCTTGAGGGTAAGGCCCGACTGCCTGTGCTTATTTCTCTTTCTTATGGCTCCTCATCCATCTTGAGTTTAATCAGCAAGTGTCCATTTGGTAGTTTCACTGCCAATAACCATGATGGCCTCCATTGCTTTAAGGTCCTTTTTTTGTTTCTTTGTTTGGTTTTAATTTTTTTTTTTTTTGGTACCGGGGATCGAACTCGGGTCTTTGCACTTGTGCAGCAGGCAGCGAAACCACTGAGCTAAATCCCTGGCCCTGTTTGTTTGGTTTTTGAGACAGGGGTCTCACTGTGTAGTCAGGCTGACCTTGAACTTGAAGCTTTCTGCCTCAGCCTCCTGAGTGCTGGGTTCCAGGTGTACCCCATGAGTCCTGCTGGTTTAAGATCTCACCCATCTGCAGTTTCACAGATGCTGACGCTGCAGTTCTGTGAGATGAGAGACTTCGTGCTGTGACAAGACTACTTCTGACCACTGGGTTTGGAGTCTGAACCTAGATTTTAAAACCTCCAGGCCAGGCGCAGTGGTGCAGGCCTCTGGGAGAAGGGGTGGGGGATCGTGTTTGAGCCCAGCCTGGGCAACTTAGTGAGAGCTTCTGTCAAAAAAGGTCTGGGATGTAGCTCAGTGCAAAGGCCCTGGGTTCAATCCCCAGCACTGCCAAAACAAAAAACCAAACCCAAACGTAGTGATCTTGTTTATCCATCTCAGGACTTGATGACACTCTTTTGCATGTGGTGAGGTGTGCTAGGGGAGCTTGACTCAGTGAGGAACCAGAGTCTGGGAAGTTTTAGGGGCCAAGTCCAGCTCACTGCTCCTGAGGGGAGCAGGCTTTTGAGACAGACCTGGGTTCCAGGAGTGTCCTTGTCTTTTTTTTTTTGGTACCAGCGAATCGAACTTGGATCCTTGAGCTTGTGAGGCAGGCAGTGGAATCACTGAGCTAAATCCCTTCCTCTTACATTTTTTTTCCTCTTACATCTTTTAATGTACTTTTTCATTTTTGTTTCTTGAAAACAGTGTTTGAGGCACCTGGGGTCGTGTCTGACATTGAAGTGCTTTCCATCCGTCCCACCAGTGTGGTCCTAATGTGGGAAAAGGAAAACCCAGGCACTTCTGAGTTCTGGTATAGGATAGAGGAAGAGAGGAGCAACACATCAGTCAGCACCCAGCAAACAAGGTACAACGTCACAGGCTTGCGTCCGGCGACTGCGTACACATTCTCCATATCTCTGGGAAGAGACAATAAGACCTGGGGAAAGCCCACCTCCAAAAATGTCACAACAGGTAAGATAACTGGCTCCCAGCCACGGCCACCAACTGTTTCTTATCCTAAGTCCTCCAGCCGTGTCCATCCCATTGCCTGCTGGATCAGGGAGACAGATCCTGTAGTATTTTTGGGTTTTGAGACAGGGTCTCGCTACATAACTCAGGCTGGCCTGAAACTCCCAGTGATCCTCCTGCCTCAGCCTCCCAAGTGCTAAGATGAAGGGCGAGTACCACCACGCCCAGCTGGAAGTTTTGCCTGTTTCCACTTGTTTTATTTTTAAAATCCCAGTTTGTTGTCAGTGGCTCCCACCTACCTTTCTGCAGTGCTTCTGGCTCAAGATCCCCTTAGAAGGATGCTCTGATGACATCAGCAGTTCCTGTTTTGCTCAGCTCCTCGGGAAACTGAGACTACATCCGTTTTCCAGTGTGCTTCGCAGGAAAGTGTGTGTTTCGAGTGAGGTGGGAGCTCTGTGATGTTGGACGTTAAGACCAGGCAGCTTAGACTGTGGCGTAGCTTAGGGGTCAGGACCCTGAGCCACCTCTTATACCTGCAGATTTAGCTGGGTTTTTTTTAAGCTGAAAAGAACTAAAAATGAAGAACTAGTGACCAACAGATGAGCTGCTCTTTTTAAGGCAAGAAGAAAATAGAGGTCATCTGTTGGTTTCCTGGTTGGTGGTGTGTGTATGTGTGTATGTGTGGTGTGTGTGTGTGCATGTATGTGTGTGTGTGGATGCGTGTGTGATCTTCCTGGCTGGTGGAGGCCACAGAAGCCTGACCTTGGATCTCATGGCTTGAAGTGAGGTAGGTCCAGCATAGCATCCCTTCTGCACCACTGAGGTTTTTTTTTCCAGTACTGGGGATTGAACTCAGGACCTTGTGCTTGTGAGACAGGCACAATGCCACTGAGCTAAATCCCCAGCTAGACCACTGAGTTTTATTTATTTACTTATTTTTTGGTACTGGGGATCGAACTTGGGTCCTTGTGCTTGCGCAGCAGGTGGTAAAACCACTGAGCTAAATCCCCAGCCCCATAGACCACTGAGTTTTGACATACGTTTTTCTGTAGCTAGAAAACTATTTCTTTAGATAGAATATTGTTCAGAAGGCCAACACTGAAAACAACAACAACAATAACAACAATAATATAATGAGGGCTAAGGACAAAGCCCTAGCGGTAGGTAGAGTGGTTGCCTGGCGAGTGAGTCCTCAGCCTGCCAAACTGAACCAAACCAAAGAGAAGTGAACCACATAGAAATGCAAGGGAATGGGTGACTCAGAGATCTTGCATCGGAGATATCTGATGTGGGAATCAGGGCACAGGGCAGATCCCCTTGTTTCCACGTTGCAGGGTGCGGGGTTTTTCTCTTCAGCCCCCCCGACCTCGGGCAGGGCTCTCTCTGTCTCTCTGTCTCTCTGCCTCTCTGTCTCTGACACCCCCTGTGTTTGGGCCTAGCGGTTGGGCTCTGGGCCCTGCTATCAGCAGAGTGCGTGCTCTGACCAAGCCAGCTGCACCCAGTCCTTGTCTCCCGAATGTCATTTTGGCTGAAGTGTTTTGATTTATGTCGCACTGGGCAGGGGCTTGGGCGGAGGTGCTGGGGAGCTTTCCTGAAAATTGCCTTGGGCCAGAGCTCAGGAATGCAGCCTGGTGCCAGGGTCTCTGTCCTGTAAAACACTTCTGCGGCGTGGTCTTGAAGGGAGGCCTGAGACAAGGCAGGCAGTGATTCCTTTTGCTACTCTGCTCTTGATGTCGGAAGCAGCTGAAATTAAAGGTTGATGTTTGGGGACCTTTAAAGCAGAGTCTAAGTCACTGTTGGGGTTTGTCTTGAAGACCCGTACAGGCCCTGAATGACCTCAGCATTAAGGTTTACTCCTTCCCCTTTATGTCTGAGCTTCCTCTGCTGGGGTGATGAAAGCCCAGGGACTCTGACGTGCTCTCAGGGGCCTAGGGCGCCATTGCTGAGCTCACGGAAGCTGACACTGAGCCCAAGAATGTCCCCATGTGTTTGTCCACAGAGCCTCTTCCGGTGTGGGGTCTGCACGTGGCCTTCATGGGGCAGACACAGGTTGTCCTCATCTGGGGCAGCGACAACGGCACTGCCTCCTGCCGGCTGCTTCTTGAAACGGTTGGAAGCCCAGAGACGCCGACCAACATTTCAGACCTGCAGCCCGGGTTTCAGCGAGTTGTCCTCAGTCTTCCATGGTTGGATGAGACGCAGAGCGAAACCCGGGTCATGGCAAGTAGCTCGGGTGAGTTACAAGATTTGACTTCCTGTAACTAAATAGGTTTAAAAAATATCATTCTTATGTTGTACAGGCTTAGGCTTTAGACTTGGTAGAGGGCTCTCCCTCCAGGCAGTTAGGTCCCTCGCTTGTTTATAGGACGGGAGGAGGCATGGGGCTCAGGATGGCTCTGGACCTTGAAACATGAGAGCCAGGCACCAGGAAAGCAAGGGGCCCTGGGGCTTTGGATCTTCCGCTGTGTGCACAGCAGGCCCCGTGCGGGGTTCACGGAGGAGCTCATCCCATCCCTTGAGAAAAGGGGCTCCAGCGGGTAAAGGGCAGATGCTGTCATGTTTCCAGTGAGATGGGGAGGGTGCGGACCTAGGCCCCATTTCCCACTACGGAGTGGGCACTAAGGTTCTCGGTTGCGAGTGGCAGACGGAAGCCAGACTTTACATAGCTCCCACGAAAAAAGCATGTGTGGCGCATGCCTGCCTATCTGCTGCAGAGACAGATGGGCTGTTCTCAGCTCGCCTCCCTGCCCTTCTGTGTGTCGGCTTCCTCCGTGTGGCTAGGGGAAGTGGCCGCCAGCCACTCCTATGTCCAGGGGAAGCGATCCTTGAGTGGGCTTTTGTTAGCCAAGTCTGAATCACGAAACTGTCCCTAGAAAACCCTGTTGGGGTGGGAGAAGATCCTGTCCCAAAGAAGGGAAAATGGTTCAAACTGGGTGGGGTGGTACACACCTGTCATCCCAGCACTCAGGAGGCTGAGGCAGGAAGATTGCCCTGAGTTTGAGGTCAGCCTGTGCTACATAGTGAAACCCCAAACTCCAAAAGACAAAACAAAACAAAAAAAGGTCCAAAACCGCGGCGTCGAGAGAGGCAGAGTGTCCGGGTGTTCCTGGAGCGACAGCGCAGTGAAATATTGGGGCCGTTTCGGAGAGCAGATCGCTCCGGGGGAGGAGGGAATAGATATTTATGGAGTGCCAGCTGTGGGCCTCGTGGGATGTGTCATCTTGGGGGTGAGGGGCGCTGGAAGGAGCCGTGTGTCTCTCGAGGTTAATGTCCTGGTCTCCTGCGTGACGCAGACTCCGGTGGTGCAGTGAGCGGCCCAGGAAGCCCGGCCCAGCCCAGCAGCAGCCTCTCCGTCCCTGCGGATCGGATCCTGTACCGCCTGGAGCACACGGGCCCGGCCTCTGGCCCGGAGACCGGAGACACGGAAGTCCTCATCTCGGGGCTGAAGCTGGACACGCAGTACAGCGCCACCGTTTACCCTCGGGCGGCGGACGGCACGGAGGGACAACCGCGGGACGTCGACTTCCGGACAAGTGCGTGCACGCGCAGGGCTGCGCCCCCTGCCGGCGCCGTCTCGCTGAGCAGCCAGCTCCCTTGTTGGGAGGTTTTGGACAGCCGGGACCCGGGAGCCCCTTCCTGCTTGGCCTCTGTGGTGTGGCTTTTAGGGAGCTCAGGGAGTCCTCGGCTGCCTCCTGCTGTCGCCCGGCCTCGGAGAGGAGCCCCAGGGACAGCTGGTGCCATCTTTAGTCATTGGCAAATTTCTCCCTTTCTGGCCTCCGAAATCCGTGCTCGGCTTTCTGTCGAGACGGCTGCGGTCGTGCTCAGTGCTGGGTCCTAGCCGACTCCGCAGGCTCCGTCCGCTCTGTGACTCTGACGGGATTCGGAGGCGTCTCGGCCCTGACCCGTGGCTGGGACACCATGCCCAGCACCCATGGCTTGTGGGAGAAGAGGTTGGTTTTGGCTCACGGTTTCAGCCCAGGGCTGGCTCCACGGCAGCAGGAAGCGTCGGAGGGGACGAGAGTGAACCCTTACAGGCACGCCCAGGGGACCCCTCCTGAGGGCTCGCAGCTGTGAGCTGGCTGATGGATGACTCCCTGATGAGGTGGTGCCCGTGATCCCATCGCCCTCCACACACAGGAGGCCTTGGGGGACACTTTAGGTCTAAACCATCCCCAGGGGCTTGGTGCTGACGAGAGGGCACAGAAACTCCTGGGCCCTGCTCCCCGGAGCCTGTGCTGTGGACAGGGTGTAGGGACTCAGTGCGTGGAGAACCTGGTTGGGCCCCGTGAGCTCAGGGACAAATGTCTCAGTGTCACCATCCTGGGGACTTGGCAGCCGGCAGCATGAACCAACGGGGGTCCCCTTACCCAGCAAGCCCGGCACGGGCTCAGTTTCCTGAGTTCAGTTGGCAGACCAGGGCCAGAAACAGCCTGGCACCCAGGAGACCCTGGAGGCCTGGGCCACACTCGATCCAGTAACAGCCTCAGATTCACAGTCCCTGGAGGGAGAGTGTGTCACGCACCTGCTGGCCGGGTAGCTGTGCTGGAAGAGGGAGGTGCTGTCCCCTGGCAGCTGTGGGTGACAGCAGGTCTTCCCACCCAGGAGCTTGCAAGCATTGTGGGAGGCTGAGACAGGAGGATTGCAAGTTTGAGCCCACGTTGGGGAACTTAATGACTTAGTGAGGCTCTGTCTCAAAATAAAAAATAAAAAAGGGCTAGGTTCAATAGCCAGGACCACAAAACCAAACCAACCCAACCCAGCCCAACCCAGCCCAACCCAAACAAAAATTGCCCAGTAGGGCCCAACTGGGAGGGAGGCCTAGGGTCCCAGGCCCCAGAAGCTGAAGACTGAAGCTGGGATGAGGGAATGCTGGGTAAGGAGGGCAGTGGATTTGGTGATGTCCTGAGGACCTTGCTTGTTCCAGAGGGCTGGATTCAATTTCTAGAGTGATGCTGTGTGTATGCTTTGAGAACGATCTCTCCCTCGCTCTTAGAGAAAGGAGAACCACAGGGTTTAGAAATCCTGCAGATGGTTCCAGGCTGGGCCAGAGAGGAAGTGGGTGAGGGTCCCGTCAGCTGAGGGAACCACAGCTTTCCTGGTGTCTGCACTGCAGGAGGATCTTCCTGGGTCACCTCACCTTTTTCCTGTCCTCTTGTAATGCTCACAGTGCAGGGGAGGCTGCTCAGGGGCTGTGCTGAGCTGGCCAGGTGGCAGGTGGCACTGCTCGGTCCTCAGAGAGGAGTTTGGAGGAGCAGGCAGGGCTGCCATATGGGACTGTGAGGTGTGGAGGGCCACCCCTGGCTGACAGGGTGACTGGGGCTGACATCCAGCCTGGGTGCCCCTTACCTGTCAGCCCGGGCTGGGTCCCTCCAGAGGAAGGTCCTGGAATGTTCCCCACAGGCTCAGTGTGAGTACTTGCTCCCCACGGCAGCCATGTTCAGAGGTGGGGAAGTGATTGGATCATGAGGGCTCTGTCCTCATCAATGATTAATTCATTGATGGATCAATACATGGATTAATAAATGGATTCATTCACTGACAGGTTCACGATTTGATGGGTCATTTTGGGAGGCGATGGGAACTCAGGAAGTGGGCCTAGCTGAAGGGAGTGCCCCTAGGGGCTATATTTTATCCCTGGCCCTTTCTTCCTCTCTCTGCTTCCTGGCCTCCATGAGACAAGCAGCTTTCCTCCACCACCCCTTCCACTTCCACCACTGGCCCAGGGATGATGGAGCCAACCATGGCCTGAAACCTCTGAAACCATGAGCCAAAGAAGTGATTTTTCTCAGGCATTTTGTCACAGGGGTGAAGCACTGACCGACACAGGCCCTCTCCTTGATTTGCTAAAAGGGGTCCTGTGGGTTAGTGTGGGCCTTAGGTTCTTGCTTTTTAAAGCAATTTAAATGAAAGTAAAGAAGTAATGATAGTATTTCAGGCTCTTGGTGGTCTGAATACATACATATCCTGGCTGTGTTTAAGTAGCTTAGCACTTTATAAATAATTATTGTATATCCTCGGCGGGGTAGGGGGGAGGGAGAAAGAGAGAGCACAGCTTAGTCAGTTTTGGTTGCTATAACAAGTTACCACAACCAGGGCAGCTTTCAGCTCGTGAGTTTTGAGGGGACATAAATATTCAGTCTGTTGTAACACTCATACATATGTACACAAGTATGTACATGCAACAAACACACACACACACATATGCACACACCCCTGGGGTTTTGCAGGTGGCTGGTTAGGTGGAGCAGGGTTAAGGACACCTGGAGCCCAGTGTCATAGTTACCTTTTTCTCGTTGCTGAGATAAAATACCTGACACCCAGAGTTACAGGAGGAAAGGTTTATTTAGTTCACAGTTTGTAGAGGTTTCAGTCCATAATTGGCTGGCTCCAGGGCAGAGCAGCAAGGCAGAGAGGCACAGCAGAGGAGAAACAGTTCATGGCAGGCAGAAGGCAGCAAAAGCAAGCCAGCAAGTCCAACCGACAAGGCTCTTCCTGTCCCATGTCTTACCCAGGCTCCGCTCACCCCCTGTAATCCTAGCACTGCACCAGGAATCAATCCCGACGTCACACACCCTAGATCCAGCCACCTCTGAGAAGTGCTCCCTATGACCGGATGAGGCTTTGGGGGACAGCTAGACACAGCTCAAACACCCAGCAAGGGTGGAGCCTGGGAGGGTGTGTGACCAGCAGGGGTGGCGGGTCGGGACCTCAGCCCCGCTCGTGTTGCTCAGCGCCTCCCGCTCCTAGGCCACGTGGCTGCACGGCAGCCCTGGCGGTGCCCTGCGTTGGGCTTAGCCTCCTAGGGCACAGAGCAGGGCCCGGCAGGGGGTGAGCTGTGTTCTCACCAACCCTGTCTGTGGGGTAGGATCATCAGCCTGTTTCGCGCACAAAGAAGCTGAGCTGAGTGGTCCCCCAGGCCTGCCTGGCAGTGAACACACAGCTGGCCCGGAACCCAGGTGCACCCCATCCATGTGTGTGAGCTGTGATTCCTGTTGCGTGTGAGCTGTCGTTTCAAGGATGGGCAGCTCACACAGGAGGCCAAGGGTCGGCTGTGTGGGCTCCTGGCTGGGACTCATGTTGGCGCTTGGTCCCGGGTGAATGGGGAGGAGGAGGGGCAGGCACTGAGTGTGTTTCCAGGGCTCCACGGCACACGCTGGTGACAGCTCTCTCCCCTTCTGGCGCAGCCGTCTGGGTGCTAGTCACTCACCATCTTGTGTCTTTGCAGATTCCGAGCAGGTGTTTGACATCAGAGCTGTGAACATCAATGCCACCAGCCTGAGCCTGACCTGGAAAATGCGGCACAACGGGTCATCCTCTGCCTACACCTATGAGATCCACGTGGCTGGGGACACCGAGTCCTTCAACCTCACCACTGATGAAACTCGTGCTGACATCCTCGGCCTCAACTCCAGGACTTTGTACCACGTCACGGTGTGTCCCCTCCTTCGAGGGGCGGAGGGCACACCGGGCTTCCTGCAGGTGTACACCAGTGAGTTTACCGCCGCCTCCTCTCCGTCCTGCGTGGCAGCCCTTCGGGTCCCTGGGGAGCCCTGCCCCTCAGGGTGGGGTAGGAATGACGGCTGTCCTTGCTTGAGCCCGACCCCTTGCTGAGCTGCTTGTGACGCGGTTCCTCTGCTCCCTGCAGCCCTGCGACATGGGTAGCATTGGCCTCTTGTTTGGCTGAAGAAGCCGAGGCTGAGAGAGGGGCTGCAGGCGGCTGTCACACTGGGTGGGCCGCAGAGGTGAGGCGAGACCTCTGCTCTGTCACAGCTCTTCTGCTGAGGTGCAGACCCAGGGCGAATTGAGACAGGGAGGAGGACCCGGATGCTCATGTCCTGGTGTCTGTGGAATGCTGGCAGTGGAAGGAAGTGCGTGCCTCATCCTTTGATTGTAAAGATGAGCTGGTGGTCCGGGTAGCAAATACAACACTTCCCATTGGAAAGCAGGTGCCCCGTGTGACATGGCACTGTAATGGTTCCCTGGGCGCCTGGCAGCAGCACAGCAGCATGGCTGCCAGCAGCACCTGTGCTTCACAAGCACTGAGGGTCTTCATGGCCGGTGTCGGGCTCCTGTTACAGATGAGAAAACTTCAGCCTAGCATGGCTGAGAGTTGGCCCAAATCCATGGAGCTAGCAGAAGACAGCAGGGACCAGGACCCAGGAGTGCTCACCCTGCACGAGTCCCTCCACCAGGAGCCCAGGCGTCCCCGTCCACACACGCTGCTGCCTGCTTACAGGTGTCTTTTGGGCTGGCTTTAGGGAGAAGATGAGATCTGCTTTCATTTCTTCACTTTTGGCTTTCTTACAGCATGCGTTAGGATTAGGTTCAGCTGTGAGTGTCAAGCCCATGGTCAGTCGCTTCAGGAATGTGGGAGTTTGTTTCTATCTCAGGGAAAAGCCGCCCAGTGCTAGGCAGGATGGAGGTGGAGGAGAGTTATCCAGGTCTCAGCTGCAGGGAACAGAAAACTGTGAGCCGTTTAAAGCCCAAATGGATTTATCCTTGAAAATAGGAGGGTCAGGGATTTAGCTCAGTGGTTCCACGACCTGCCTTGCAAGCTCCAGGTCTCGAGTTCGATTCCTGGTACCAAAAAAACAAGGAAGAAAAAAAAGAAAACAGGAGTTTACAGAACCACTGAAAAAAAAAGAACCACTGAAAGGCACATGGATGACTTTGCTAGGGCTGTTATGACTTGGACCGCAGAAACTTGTTTCTTGTTCTTCCTGAGGTGACTCTTTGGATATCAGGTGACAGAATGGCTTCTCCTGAGACCTCTGCTCTCAGCCTGCAGGTGGCTCTCTGCCAGCTGTGTCTTTCCAGAGCATCCTCAGTCGGGGTCCGGTGCTCACCTCTAGATGGACAGCTGTCTGTTGAAGGATGTGTGCAGACACAGTCCAGCCTGAGGGGCGGGCTTAGGGCTTCAGCACAATTCAGCCCATACCACTGGGGAACAGGATTCAGCTCATCCCCAGAACTGACCCACACTAAGGCTGTGGAGCCGACTCACACGGAGCGTCACCTGTTTGGCCCCATCAGCAGAGTGAGGAACTAGGAAACTGTAGCTGTCCTTGCTGGGTCCGAGAGGCTGTGTTCTGGGCTGTCAGCCAAGGATCAGGAAGCTGCCACCATCACCGTGTTGGTTCTGGAGCCAGGCAGCTAGAGCTCCAGCCATCAGGTCCACATTCCAGTTCCAGGAAGGATACAGGGCCCCAGGCAGAGCTCTGCCCTTCAGACTCAACTTCCTAGAAGTCCTGCAGGGCTTCTGCTCTCATTCCTCCCATTCTATTGACTGTAGCTTGGTCACACGGCTCCCATGGCTCCCCGTAGCTGCAAGGGAGGCTGGGAAATGGAGTCTCCATTCCCCACAGCCATGTACACAGAAGTGTGGGAATGCAGGATGAAGGAAAGGTGGGGTGTATTTTGGGGGCCAAGAGCAGCCTGTGCTGCCCCCCATGAACAGAGGCTCAGGGAGGCTCAGAAGTGCATCAGGAGGAAGCAGCCAGCGGGGGCCAGGGTCCTCTCCAGAGCCTGTCCTTGGGCGGGGGCCCTTGGCGGCTGACTCGTCCTGCGAGTGACTCTGGCAGTGTCTGCAGTGTCGTGGCCCCGGGCCCTCTCCGTGGCCGGAGTCTGCAGTTTCCAGGGTGCTGGTGCTGCAGTTATGATTGGAGGGGAGCAGTGAGCTCGGCGTCCTCACCGGGCAGCTGTCTGGGGTCCGTCCGTGTGAGGGCTTTGTGAGGGTTGTCACCGTCTCCCGGGACAGGGAGCCTTCACTCACCCCACACCATCTCTCCACAGCTCCTTTTCCAGTGTCTGACCTTCGAGTGACAAAGGTGGGCCCGAGGGAAATTGGCTTAGCCTGGCACAGCAGTGACTCAAAGTCCTTTAAGATTGTCACAACTGGGGATGGATCTGGAGAATTTCACAGCCACACAGCCAGCAGTCCAGAGATTCTCATCCGAGGCCTTAAGCCTGCGACCAACTACTGTTTTAAAGTATTCCCACAAGGACCCAACGGGACCGTGGGGGAGCCCACAGGCATCTGCAATCAGACTGGTAAGCAAGTGGCTGTGTGGTTGTCAGAGAGTGGCTGGTTTGTAGGTGTCACGTCTTCCAAATATTTTTCTTTTAATTGAGGAAAATCTTAAAAATATCTTTAGTCATTAAATACAGAGCAGCAAAAACAAGAGCAAAAAAATCATCAACCGGAATGAATTTCTGATACAATTTTAGGATACACACACACACACACACACACACTCACACAGCTTTTTAAGTCTTGGGGTTGTTTTGTCTGTGTGGCTTTGGATCTGCTTTTTCTCACACGCCAGCTCACTGTCTTTCCATTGTGAGCATGGCACCCAATCATTCTCGCCCCTGCCTTTGTTGCACAGACCAGCTACCAGGGCCGGTGGGTTACAGTGGCCCCTCGTGTGTTTTGTAGCTCTGGTTTTACTGGCACACAACCCTGCTCATGTTGCCTTTGCATTAGAATTCAGTGTAGCAGCAGAGAGCTGATGGTGGGGCCCCTGAAGTACACATGTCCTGGCTCTGACTGCAAGTTGCCACCCCCAGGGGAGGCCAGAGGTTTTCACAGTGGCCCGGAAGGTCTGGGTGGTGTTTTTCGCTGGTCACACAGACTTGCTCCCTGGGTGTTTTCTACTCTCGCCTCCTCACAGTGCAAGGTGGCGCTTTCCAGGTGCTGTGTGACTCGGGTCGACGTTGTCTCTTTCACGGCTAACAGAAAGTCCCTTATTTTTATTTTCAGTGCAGCCAATAGTGAGAAACGTGACTCCTGAGAGCAGAAATTCTCTGAGGTCCTTAATAAGAACTTTTAAGAAGATAAAGGAGCCTTGAGAACGAAGCACCTAGGAAGGGCTTGTCTAGATGTGCTGTGAATGAACTATGCCCTGTGGCCGGGCCGCGGGGTTTTGGAGGGTTTCAGAAACAGCTGTGTTGGAATGGAGCTTTGGTAGCAGTGTGCTCCTTCTGCCTTCCTCAGGATGCTGTGGACAGGAAGCTCCAGTCTGCGCATGGCGTGGCTCTAATGCTGGGTGGAAGGTGATGATGCTGTGCTGTAGATTCTGTCAGGGTTGCTGTTTGACTCAGCAGAACACGGGGGCTGCAGGGAGCATCGGTGACGGCCAAAGTGACAAGGCATGAACTGGCCCCCGGCTCCTGAGACCAGGGCTTACCATCCGTGCTACTGACACTGCCTTGGCACAGCGTCAGCGTCGTATTCCTAGGGAGAGAGCTTGGGACTGGGCCCCAGTGACCGCAAGTCAGGAAGGGCTGGCGCAGGAGCCTCGGTGCTTAGGGTCGACTTCCCATTATTGAGTTGTCATTGTTATTGGGAGCAATCAGCTTAATGACAGTAAAGGGAATTTGGAAAAAGGGAAGTAATAGTTAGTGACCCGACTCACTTTTAGGTAAATTTCCTAAAGAACTGAGAGCAGTGTCTCAGACAGTTATGAATACCCGGCGTTCACAGTAGCATTATCCGCCACAGCCACGAGGTGGCGACATCCCAGCGGCTATTGACTGGTAGATAGACACACAAGGCTTTCCATATGGAGTATTAGCCAGAAAAGAGATACTGGCGTATAATCCAACACAGGCAGATCTTGAAAATGTTATTTCAAGTAAAATAAGCCAGACACAGAAAGACAAATACCGTGACTTCAGTTATTTGAAGTGCAAGTTCATCGAGACCACAAGAGGAATGGACGTTATCATGAAGGGTCTGGCTTGGGGTGGGAAATGGGAAGTTATTGTTTCACAGACACTGTTGGGGCCACTTTCACACTGGTGAGTCACAGTACCCAGCACCCACCACTTAAAGGAGCAGAGGCTTGTTTTGGCTCATGGTTCCAGTCCATGGTGGGCCAGCTCCAAGGCAGGAACAGGATGGCAGAGGGGCCTGGCGGAGGGAAACGTGCTCAACTCATGGGGACCAGGAGGAGCCGGGGACACCTCCCAGGTCACACCCAGTGACCACCTCCAGCCAGGCCCCGCCTCCTGATGGCGCACTTGGCTGCGGGCTCATCGATAGAGGAGCCCACTGACCAGTATAGCACCCTGTGACCCAGCCCCTCCACACGCAGCAGAATTCTGCAGACATTTTAGATCCAACCCAGAGCAGACACAAAGTTGATACCGAGGATGACAGAAAGGTTTGGGGTGTGATGGTGGTGATGGTTATGCAACATTGGGGGTGTCTTTCATGCTACCCAGATGTGTACTGGCAGGAGGTTAAAAGTGATAAAATATGCATGTTTCACAATGCAAGGGAGAGAAACAAGGACACTTGACCTTTCTAGCCCCATTGAGTTCCTTTTCTCTCCTTGGTTGCTTCATGTACGTCTCTGTAGTTGTTATACAGACCGTTTGCTTGTGTGTTTGAGTTCTGGTTTTCCCATGTCTCCTCTAACTTCCCACATAGTTAATGTGCTCTTCGTGGTTTTGGCCCACACCAAATGCTTCATCTCGCAGCTGGTTCATGGTTCACACAGCCCTTCCCTTTTTGGAGGGGAGAATATTTAGGTTACTCCTCTTCTTGATTATAGAGAAGTCCGCCTGGATGGTCTTTTGTCTCTGGAATCCCTTTGACCTTAAGGAGTCTGAGGGTAGGGAAGGACCCTCTGTAAGCTGCTTCTTTTATGAAGAGTCCGCTTTAAAAGTGACATACATGATTGGGCTGGGGATTTAGCTCAGTGGTTTCGCCACCTGCTGCGCAAGCGCGAGGACCCGAGTTCGATCCCTGGTACCAAAAAAAAAAGTGACATGATTGGGGCCGGGGATTTGGCTCAGTGGTGCCACCGCCTGCCTCACAAGCGCAAGGTCCCGGGTTCGATCCCTGGTACCAAAAAAAAAAAGTGATGTCATTAACTTTGGGGTAGACGGGACAGGGCATGCACATGCCACTTTCACAGGAAAATATTCCCTTTCTTGGCCCCCGCTTCTGTTTCCTTCTTCAGGAGGCCAGGCTGTGTCCCGGGAGTGTCCAGTGAATGGTTTTAAAACACAAAATCTTTACTGAGAATTGAGGTCCAAAAACGCGGCCCACACACCCTGGGTTGGCAGCTCAGACAGAGACACCGAGCGAGCGCGACTTCATTTTGATGATTGAAGCGGAAGACGGGGAGCCTGTGGGCTGGCCGGTGCGCTCACCTGTGCCACGGGGAGAGCGGAGGCTCCAGGCAGACCGCGCGACGCTGGTCCTCACAGGCGTCCCTTCTCCCCTCCCTCTTCCAGCCTCCAGCGCGGTGTTCGGCCTCCGCGTGGTCACCGTCACCAGCACGGGGATGGAGCTGGAGTGGCAGAACACGGACCCGGCCTCCGAGTACATCTACCGCGTGCTGGTCCAGTCCGCCTTCAACTCCAGCGAGAGCAACAGCTCCCAGAGGGCTGTCTCGCTGGGGGGCCTCACGCCGGGCACCCACTATACCGTCTCCATCTATCCCGAGGCGGACCAGCTCTGGGGGGACCCGGGCACTATCACCCAGTACACGCGTGAGTCTCCCGCTGGCCCCGGCAGGAAGTGCGATCAGCTGACCCAGAGAGGGACTGCAGTGGGTAGTGCCAGCCTCGGGCTAGGGCTGCCATCTGTCCTCATGGGGCACTGGGGTGGAAGCCATGTGAACTCCAAGTGTCCGCGAGCAGGAAGTGAGCCAGCCCTCGAGGATGAAGGACACGAGTGTCCCTTTCATGGCTCCACAGTCTTGTCGCCATGGTAGCATCAGACCCTGGCCTGAGGAGGGCTTTGCCTGCAGCAGGGAAAGAGGTGTTTTGCTAATAACCAAGCTCAGTAGGGGGAGAGACATTGATAGCATGCTTCTAGTGTAGTTTTCCTCTTTCATCAGCCAGATTTAGAAAAGAAAAAACTGGAGATTGTAGCTTAAAAGATACAGGTTAGATAAATCTCATATATTGAAAGAAGCCTGGGCAGCCCACTTTCAGGGTCCCCTCCTGTCCCTCTCAGGCAGGAGCTGTCTGTCCCTCAGTAAATATTTCCTACTCTTAAAAAAGCCTGAAGCTCATCATGGTGGCAACCACCTGTAACCCAGCACCCTGGGGAGGCTGAGGCAGGAGGGTCACCAGCTTGAGCCTAGTCTGGACAACTCAGTAACTTAGTGAGACCCAGTCTCAAAATAAAAATGGGGGCTGAGGATGTAGCTTAGTGTGAAAGCCCCGGGTTCAATGCCCACTATTGGGAAAAAAGGAAAAAAAATACTGAAAAGCTTTAATTCTTTTCAAATTTAATCTGTATAATTATTTTTCTGAATGTGTTTTTTTGGGAAGTTTTCCATTTTTTGAGCCAGCAAGTATTAGCTTTATTTATTCTTTCAAAGAGAAACCAGGCTGGTTTTGGATGTAGTAAATAAAGTTGTCCTGGGATTCAAACTTGTCCATGCTTTTTTTTTTGTTTTATTTTTTGGAGACAGAGTCTCACTCACTATGTATTCCAGGCTGGCCTTGAACTCACTATGTAGCCCAGGCTGGCCTCGAACTCAAGGTGATCCTCCTGCCTCAGCCTCCTGAGTGCTGGGATTACAGGCTGCACCACCATACCTGGCCTTATTATTCTTACTTTTCAATCCAGGGCCCAGCGATGTGTCCAACATTGCAGTCAGCGTCAACACCACGGCCGCAAACTTGAGCTGGCAGAACGATGATGTGGCCTCTCCTACCTACACCTACCACCTTCTTATCGAGAAGGCTGGAGATGCCAGTGACGCCCCACGAGACATCACGAACATCACAGCCATGCAGGAGATGGTCCCTGGATTAGAACCCGGCTCACCCTACACCGTGAAGATCTTTGCAGAAGTTGGGGGCGTCGAGTCCCTGGTCCCTGGCCAGAAGAGCTTCTGCACAGGTGAGCAACTCCGTGTGAGGCCTGGGGCGGGCAGGGTAGATGTCACCCTCCAAGGCTCCCAGGGGACCGACAGAGTAAAGCTCAGTCAGGTGTGGGCGCTGATCGCTGCCAAGGAGAGGATGCAAAAAATGGGGAGAGGAAGTGGGAGGTTTTTCTGGGCTCCCCAGGGAAGGCTCAATAAGAAGGTGACTGTGAGCACAGATCTGGGAAGCAAAGGAGCCAGCTGTGTGTAGATGAGGGTGGCAGCTGTTTCAGGCAGGAGTGGCCCATGCAAAGGCCCTGAGGCTGGAGGGAGCAGGAGGGGAGGGGCAGGAGTGAAGGCCACCAGGGCTGGCATGGTGGCCACCCTTGAACTTCCTGGTTTGACTTTTATTTATCCTGAAGATGAAGCCAGGCTTGGTGGTGCAGGACTGTAATCCCAGCACACTGGGAGGCTGAGGCAGGAGGATCACCAGTTTGAATGCAGCCTGGATGACTAGCTGACTTAGTGAGACACTTTCTGACCTGGCATTCTGAGCCACTGGTTCTCTGCCCTCCTTGCTCTCCCTCCTCCTTGCCTTTGATGGTGCCGTTCAAGGGGGTCAGGCTGGGTTAGAAGCAGGCGGCTTCCTGGGTCAGCCTCCCTGGGGTGTCGAAGCTGGCGCTTGGCCCTGGCCTTTCACCTGAGCAGCTCGGAGTCACCCCTGGTCACTCAGGCTCTGTCCCCGGCTGGAGACTCAGAGCTCCGGTATCTGGGGCTTCCCGCCTGGGCTGTAATTCCTGCATCCCCCAGCAGGGGCAGCACCCAGACCCGCCTCCAGGGCAGGGGTGGGGTGGGGGCACCAAGCTGGCGGGAGCGTGGGAGCCGCAGCAGGTGACCCCTTTCCTAGCATTGTGCGACATTAATGACGTCTCTCCCAGTGTGCACGGCATGCTCAAAAAAACATGGTGAGTATGTAGATTACAAATAATTATTGCAGTAAAAGACACATGGCCACGAATCCTTCAGCCTGCCCCCTGCACTTCGGGCACACTGATCCCATTGTTCTTGCCACTTTCTGAAGCAGCTCTGGAGTCCTCTGTCGTGGCTGCCTCGAAGTCCCGAGTTGATTCAAAACACTCACCTTTCATGGTCAGTTTGACCTTAGGGAAGAGCCAGGAGTCACTCGGTGTCAGATCCGTGACCGAGGTGGATGAGGACACAGCGTGGTATTTTTATGAGCTGCCTTTCTGTTGGACAGAGCACGGCAGCAGCAGTCATCAGATATTTGATCGCACCTCCTGAAGACACTCAGGAAAGACGACTCCAGAGCTGCTGCAGAAAGTGGCCAGAGCTATGGGACAAGTGTGTTCAAAGTGAAGGGGAGGATTTTTGTTTGTTTGTTTTTGGTACCGGGGATGGAACTCGGGTCCTTGCGCTTGTGAGGCAGCCGGCAGAACCACTGAGCTAAATCTCCGGCCCATGAAGGGGAGGATTTTGAGGGGGATTCATGCCAATGTGACCTTTACTGTAATAAATTTTTTAAAACTTCATTCATAGTAATTTGATCACCTCTGGTATTAATTAGCAGTTTCCTGTGGATATTGTGGCATTGACCATCAGTAAGCTATTGCCCAACTTTCCAGAGAAAGACACTGATACATTCACCCCGGATTATGCAGCATGTTATGGGCATAGACATCGCCCTGTACTGGGATTTGGAGGACCCGGGATCTAGTCCTGCCTCCGTGTCAGCTTTTATCATGGGCTTATTCTCTTCAAGCCTCAGTTGACTTATCTGCAAGGTGGGGTACTGTGAACCTTCCTGGGCCCCAAAGGGTTGCTGGGGCCCCCAGACGGGGCAGTGCAGGCCAAGAGGTGGCCCCACTCCCGGGGTGGCCCTGGGGCCCATTCTGCCTGGGCCGACCTTTGCTGGAGTCTCTGGGTGTCCAGGCCTCATGATGTTGTGCTTGCCTTGCAGAGTCGGCCCCCGTGGACTCCTTCCATTGTGCTGCAGTCCCCCGGGAGCCCAGCCTGGTCCTGACCTGGGAGCCCCCTCCTGGTGGCCACACCGGCTTCCAGCTGGGGCTTGGCAGTGAGGCCTGGGACAACGTGACGTGCCTGGGACTCGGCTCCCTGGACAATGGCACCAACTGCAGGGCAGAAGTCTCGAATCTGAATTTCTCCACCTTGTACAACATCAGCATGGCCACCTTGTCCTGCGGGGCCACAGCAGCTGCCACCCACAGCACCTGCCTCACGGGCATCACAGGTGGGCTCTGGGGCTGCCAACCTGGCTTTGTTTCCCCTGAAATGTTTATCTTTATTGGTACAGACTGGGACCCCATTCTATAGAAACCCGGGCTGAAAAGGTTCCGTGCTGTACCGAACAATCCCTCACGTTTGCAAGGATTCCTTTACTGCACTAAGACATGACATTTTTATAGAAATGTTCAAATCTACACGGGAGAGAGGACGGCATGATGGAATTCACTCATGGGGGATCACTGACTGCTTAGCTCCTGCTTTATGTACATCCTCCCCTTCTTCCCCTTCAAAGATTACTTTTTTTTTTTTAAATTGTTTATTAGAATTTTATAGTTAATCTCTTTAGATTCAGTTTTTCATAAGTTTAATCTTTTAAATTTGCTTTTTTTTTTTTTTTGCAACCAGGGATTGAACTTGGGACCTTGTGCTTGCAAAGCAGGCGGCAGAACCATTGAGCCAAATCCCCGGCTCCCCAGGATTATTTTGAAACAAGTTCTGATCCTTCTCTATTTTTCTTCCTAAATATTTCAGCATGTTTGCTTCAAGACAGGGACTCCTTTTTTCTTTCTTTCTGCCTAACACTGCCACATTACCATCACCATTGTAGTTAAGAATGGAATAGGGCCCGGGATTTAGCTCAGTGGTTCCACTGCCTGCCTCACAAGTGCAAGGTCCCGAGTTCGATCCCCGGTACCAAAAACAAACAAAAACCAAAAAAGAATGGAATAATTATTCAGTCAAGGCGCACATGTCCCTGGAATCCATACTAACAAGTTCGGAGCTGCTTTGGTAAATAGGAGATCACTTATTACTCAGGGGATCATTTAAATTTTTTTACTTTATTTTTAAAATTTTTGTTGGTACATGTTTGCAGAATGTACTGATTATATTCCTCATGGGGTGTCGGTACAAATACGAACACACGAACACATCTTAACTCTTCTTTTGTGTGTGCATGTTTTGGAGGCAGGGTCTGGGTATGTAATTCAGGATGGCCTAGAACTTGTGATCTTCCGGACTACAGAGCGAGACCCTGTCTCGGAAAACAAAACCAACAAACAAAAAACGAAATATAAGCACATACTGTTAGAAACAACAGCAACAATAAGCCCAAACAGGGCTGCGGGAGCCCGGGCTGGGGCTGTGGATGCCGCGGAGGCCCGGCGTGACGCGCGCTCCTGGATCAGCCCTCTCCTCCGCCTCGGGAGCTGCTTCCCCTCCCGCGGGCCGACCACGATCACGTCTGTCGTGGTTTTATTTCAGATCCCCCGGCTCCAGATGGGTCCCCGAACATCACGTCTGTGAGCCACAACTCAGTGAGAGTCAAGTTCAGCGGGTTTGAAGCCAGCCACGGCCCCATCAAAGCCTACGCCATTGTCCTCACCACCGGGGAGGGTAAGGAGGCCACACGGACCCGGGCCTCTGCCTGCCTCGCTGGGGCGCTTCGCTGGGGTGGGGGTTGGGTGGCTCTGCCTCCCTGGCTGGGGCAGAGGCGGGGTAAGGGACTGCGCATGTGTCACGTTTTGCACACCCTATGGCTTCCGTCCCGTCCTTTTCGCGCTGCCGACGCAGCGTTAGAAGAGTCACAGGAGATGCGCTAAGGGCAAGGGCGCTGCATTTAGTAGCACAGGTGGGGCTTCCTTCGCCAGCCTCTGCAGTAGGGTTTTCTTCTCTTACAACGTCAGGTCTTTTAGGTGGAAGAATATTAGTTTCAGGCAACTTGGTTCCCTTTTTCTTTTTGCTTTTTCGAGGCAGGGTCTCACTGTGTAGTCCAGGCTGGCCTCGAACTCACAGCGATCTTCTTGCCTCAGCCACCCGAGTGCTGGGATGACAGGCGTGTACCACCGGGCTTGGCTCCCAACTTTGTTTCCAGCACTCAGTACACTCGTACACACACACATAACCTAACACAGTGTCCTTTTCTTAACAACAAACAGAAAGAGTTTGCATTTCCTCATGGGACCCTGCAGAGGGCATCCCTGAGGCCTGGGGGGACGAGGAGTAAAAGCTGTTCCTCCTTGAAGGGCTCTGTCGCCGTCCTTGGTTGGAAGGGTGTGATGTGAGGGGTGTCTCAGCAGCAGTGTGTGAGTGCTTGCCGAGGCCTGGGGTTAAAGTGCCGAGCGTTCGAGTGTTCGTGTTCTGGGTGATTCTCTAACTTAGATGTGGCAGGCAGGGCTGCCACTGCCACATGCCTCAACCCATGGTGTCGTCCCCATTTCCGGGAGGAAAGAAGGGACGGTACTCTCAGTGGTGCGGGAATCCTGGAGGGTAGACATTTGCTGATGTCAGAAACCTGTTTCAGAATTTCAAAGAGTGATGTTGAGCTGGGCGTGGTGGTGCGTGCCTGCAAGCCCAGCCCTTGGGAGGCTGAGGCAGGAAGATCCCTGTGAGTTCGAGGCCAGTCTGGGCTACATGGTGAGACTTTGTCTCAAAAACAAAACAGGTGTTGAGTTGTCTCTATTTTCTCTTTTTATTTTGGGCCTGTTTATTCTGTTCTGTTGCTTTTCAACAAAGCTGAAGTGGAGACCTTTACTGAAGGGGGTAGGTGACATTATAGGGTGACCAGGCTGCCCGTGCGGGCCTGTGATGCAAGGGGCCACAGGCTCTGCGTCACCCGGCCCGGGTTGGAAATCTAGCTCCATCCCAAGAGCACGGTGACCTTGGGCCAGGTCCTGTTCGCTTTCTGAGCCTTCATTTTGCTCTTCGGGAGAATGGGATATAAGCTTATGCGATGTGATTCACGGCGAAATGAGCAACGGAAGCGCCGAGAATTTGACGTCGGCAAAGCCTTGTGCCGAGGGCAACCGACTCGGTGTCACTTAGCTTCACAGAGACTCAAGTCTCTGCCATCACTCAGGTTTGCTTTCTGTGTGCCTCCCTCAGCCGGTCGCCCTTCTCCTGATGTTCTGAGATACACGTATGACGATTTCAAAAAGGGGAACTCGGATACCTACGTGACATACCTCATCCACACAGAGGAGAAGGCGCGGTCGCAGGGCGGGTCGGGAGTCTTGAAATACGAGATCAACATTGGCAACGAGTCCACCACGCTGGGCTACTACAACGGGAAGCTGGAGCCTCTGGGCTCCTACCGGTGAGGCCTTTGGTCCCCGCAGCCCGGGCCGAGGGCTGTGTGCACTGCGTATCTGCCATGGCAGGGACATGGCCCAGTGGTCTCAGGGTGCCCTTTGTCCCCCGCAGGGCCTGTGTGGCTGGCTTCACCAACATCACCTTCAACCTCCAGCATGGTGGACTCATCAATGGCGCCGAGAGCTATGTGTCCTTCAGCCCCTACTCAGAGGCTGTGTTCTTGCCCCAGGACCCAGGTAGAGGATGACCACAGCCCTGTTCCAGCTTGGTGTCCCTGGTTCAGCCCTCTCTGAGGTCCCCAGCAGCCAGCTGCGTTTCTAATCCCTGGATTATTTAGCTTTTTGATCTCACTTGTGAGCCCGCATACAGAATCTTTGAACATTTGCAGCTCAAGGAGCCACGGGAATTGTCTTGTTCAACTTCCCTTTAGAAACTGGCTGTTGAGGCCCAGAGAGGGGAAGTACCTCGCCCACGGTCACACAGTGGCTTGGATGCAGCCCTAAGAGCCTGGCCTTGGGCTCCTTGTCAGCTGTTTCTGTCCACTGTTGCAGCACTGGGACCTGCAGCTGCAGGGACCCAGGGAGGGTGCATCCCTTGAACCTAGGCCAGAGATGAATTGACAGGCTTGTTTGCTAAGTTCTCTGGCTTGTCCTGCCTGGTAGTTTCTGGCTATTAGAAAAAAGTCACCAAAGGGGCTTCTTGTCCCCTGAGCCAGCCACCATGGCACTGCTTCTCATGTGAGGAGAAGAGGCGCAGGGTCCGAGGAGACAGTCGCTCATCAGTGGAGTGACAGACCCGGAGAGCAGATTGCAGCTAGGGGGAGCAGCAGACAGGGATTCGGGCTCCCGGACGCCTGGGCTGGTTTTAGTTCCAGAGATATCAGAGATGTGTAACTCCTGTGTTTGTGCCTGGGCACATGTGTTCCACACGCATGTGTGCCGCCTGGCCCCAGCCCTCTGCTGTGTGGGTCCCATGTGGCCCGCCGTGGATGCCTCCCCAGGTGCCTGTGTTTGAACCCCAGGTGTCATCTGCGGAGCTGTGTTTGGATGCATCTTTGGTGCCCTGGTCATCGTGGCCGTGGGAGGCTTCATTTTCTGGAGAAAGAAAAGGTGATGTTGCTTATGTGAATTATAATCCTCTGCTTTTCCGGGAAGCTTTTCTTGTGGGAAATTCCACACATTTACAGCCCTGCAAGGAATGGTACAAAGAGTGCTTGAGTTTCCATGGTCCACAGTGCTCCCCGCCTGGCAATCTTCCTGCCTTGCTTGCCCTCCTACTGCCCACGTGAAGCCTGTGATCAATTGGGATTCAAGGACTCTCCCTCCTGGCTCAGGGTTTCCACTTTGGCCCCTGCCAGGTGCCTTGTGCTGCTGCCAGTCCTTGCTGGGTTTGTGGCCAGTGCTCACAGTGCATCTTTGGCATTAGGTTCTGATTTACTTTTTGGGACTAGGGGTCCAGGACTGGGTAAAAATGCTTGTTTCTTTTTCTTTTCTTTTTTTGTTTTTGGTACCCGGGATCGAACTCGGGTCCTTGTGCTTGCGCAGCAGGTGGCGAAACCACTGAGCTAAATCCCTGGCCCAAAACTGCTTGTTTCTAAAAAAGTAACACATATATACAAGTCACTTTCCCATTGTTAGGACAAAATACGGGACACCTGCAACCTCAAGGCGGAGAGGTTCATTTTGGCTCACAGTTTCAGTGGGTTCAGTCTGTGGGTAGCTGGCTCTGAGGCAGAAACAGCATAGTGGAGGGCCTGGGGGGGGGGAAAGCTGTTCAACCACTGCAGACAGGAGGCAGAGAGAGAAGGAAGGAGCTAGAGGACAAGAACCCACCCTTCCAGGACACACTCCTGGATGTGACCCACCTTCGCCTCACAGCACATTCAGTGACTGACTCATGAATGGAGAAATCCACTGATAGGTACAGGAGCCCGCTTGTCCGGTCACTTGCCAAAAGCCCACTTCTGAAACATGAGACTTGGGGGGCATTCTAGATCTAAACCATCACATTTGTTAAAGAAAAACAAAACCTACCATAGAAAAGCAGAACACGGAGAAAAAGGTAATCCGTAATCTCAGCGCCCACACAAAGCTACTGATTTCATCCCATTTAACTGGTTACAGAGTATTTAACCACATGGAAGTACCGTCATTTGTTTAACCAATTTACTGGATGTTTTCAACTTTGGGGGCCAGTTATATATCCTTGTGGCTAAATCTTTGGGCACATCCATGATTCTTCCAAGCTGGACAATCACTGGGTCTGTGGCTATGCAGGTTTTCAGTTCTCATCCATGCTGCCAAGTTCTCTTCCAGAAAGTAGTTTTTACATCCAGCAACACCAGAGTGTAGGTGCCCCACCCACACTGGATCTGATACGATTTCTGGTTTATGGCAATGACTTGTCAGACTTTCCTCCAAAACAGTACGAAATAAAGAGCCTTGGTTTACAGTAAGGTAATGCCGCCGATGCACATTGCAAGGCAATTCCTAAAGGTGGCTGGAGAAAGATTGCCTGTACTTTGGATAGAATAAAAGAGACTGACTTTACAGTGTTGTGACTGACGTTTGCTGTTTGGACCCTTAAGCTTAGTGTCAGGAGGCAGCAGTTAGCATGCAAGGGGAAAGCGAGAAGGAAACTTTTCTTGTCTGATGGGCTGTTTTCTCTCAACACAGGAAAGATGGGAAGAACAATGACGTGTCATTTTCTCAAATTAAGTAAGTCTCTAGAGTTAGGGTTATGCTAAGACTCTCGCTGCCCCTATCTGTTCTGTGACCATATAGAGAATTTTTTTTCTTTTATTGGTACATTTTAGGTATACAGTACGTTTACATTTATCATTGGGTGTTTGTACCTGTACATGATGTATCTTGGTTCTTATTTTTTCCCCCATTACCTGTGCGCCCTTCACCCCATATAGAGAATTTTTATGGGCCTTGCTGTCATATTTCCAACGGACACATTTTTCCTAATTCATCACCTGGAAATTCTCAGTAGTTCTGTCTTTCACTAAGGAACCTACATTTTATCTCCTGAAGCAAGATTTCTTGCCATGTTCTACTATTTTACATATATATATATATATATATATATATATGATTAGTAGTTGTTTGCAGATATCATAGTTACACTTGTTTTGGGGGATTGGTGTGTGGATATAGCATATCTCAATAATATATATTTTATAATTTAAAAAAATTGTGTGGGTTATCAAGTCCTAGGGGAGAGTAGAACGTCTGCAAACTCACCGTTTTATACAACGGAGTTGGATTTCCCAATTCCCTCTCGGTGTTTTGTGGATAATATTCTAATCTCTACTCCGCGACCCTTCCCTCCATTGCAGTCTGGTTTTTGTTATTCTGGGAAGATGTTTATTTCCTAAACAAATGAGTTTTTCTAATCGGTTATTTTTTCTTTCCCTTTCTATGATGAAGACCTAAAAAGTGAGTAACTTCCTTACTTTTTAAAATAAGATTTTCCTACTTTGAGTGTGCGCCTCATCGAGTGTAGAGGAAACCCCGACAGGTTGCTTTGTTCTCTCAGGTCCAAGCTCATCAGAGTGGAGCATTTTGAGGCTCACTTTAAGAAGCAGCAGGCTGACTCCAACTGTGGGTTTGCAGAGGAATACGAAGTACGTGGCCACAGCACCATGTTTTCATCGTTTTGTGATTCTTCCTGAATGCTGGAACACTGTCTGTTTTTGTCTGGTTTGGGTGAGGCGACTGCCTGGGGGGAGGAGCTCCTGCCTGGCCCCTGGGACCCCCAGTGTGGCCCCACTGTGGCCCCCGAGTGCTCCGACGGACCCTGACTTTTAGAGGATTGCATGCTTTTGTTTTGTTTTTCCGGAACAGGGTGTGAACCCAGGGCCTTCACACTGTGCTACTTCCCCAGCCCTTTTTTTTTTTTTAAATTTTAAGACAGCATCTTGTTGAGTTGCCCAGGCTGGAGTCAAATTTGGGATCCTCCTGCCTCAGCCTTCCAGAGTGCTAGGATTACGGGTGGCCCAGTTTTGTCGTGTTTTGCTTTATTTAAATGTCTGCATTCCTTTCCTATGCCTGCCATAACAAAAGTACCATAAACTGGGGGGCCAGAAGTCCCAGATCACTGTGTTGGCTGGGCCCTGCTCCCTCCTGGGTGTTTTGGGACCACCCCTCCCCATCAGCTCCAGCTGCTGGCAGCCCCTGTGCTCCTCCGGTCTGTGGCAGGGCACCCTGTGTCGACTTCTGTTTTCCCACGGCATCTCCTCCCCATGCCTGTGTCTTGCTGCCTCTTTTCCTCCTATGCAGCTGCCACCCACATGGGATTGGGGCCCCTGCTTGTGTGACCTTGTTTCAGCCTAATTATGCCTGCAATGACCCAGCTTCCCAGGAGGACCCTGCTCAGCACCTGGGCTTAGAAATTCCACCTAAGTTTCAGGGGATACAAGTGAGCCCTGTTCCCCTGCATCCCCACTCTCTGTTCCCCTGGTGTGAATAGAGTTTGAAGACTGAATAAACAACTTCTTCATTTTGCTTTCAGGATCTGAAGCTGGTTGGAATCAGTTTACCTAAATATGCAGCTGAGCTGGCTGAGAACAGGGGGAAGAATCGCTACAACAACGTCCTGCCCTGTGAGTGATCAGACCACACTGTTGCCCCTTCTGTGCCAGCTGAGGGGAGCTGTCCATTAGTCACCTGTCATGTGCTGAGTGGTGCCCGTAGGGACAGGACACTGATTTAATCCTCACAACCTCCCCATGAAGTAGGGAGTGGAAGGTTAATTTTGCAGATAAGGAAACTGAGGCATGAAGTGTGAGGTGATTTCTTTCCCTGAGGTCACATAGGTAGTAATGGCAAAACCAGGCTTTGGGCCAGTCCGTGAGTCTCATTCAGGGAAGAGGACAGAGTTGGGCTCTTGTCTGTCTGTCTGTCTCTCTGTCTGTGTCACTTTCTCATTGCTGGAACACAACACCTGACACCCACAATTCAAAGGAGGGAGGTTCATTTTGGCTCAGGTTTTCAGTCGGTGGTTGGCTGGCTGTAGTGTAGGAAGAACACAGTGGAAGGGTCTGGCGGAGCAGAGCTGGTCTCCTCATGGTGGGGAGGAGGCAGAGAGGGAGGTATACACTTCCGGGTCATGTCCGCGGCGGCCCGCCTCCTCACCAGGCCCCCGGCTAACCTCACAGTTAGCTAGAGCACCCCCATGATTCAGTGAGCTTTCCGAAGCCCCGCCCATGAGTGCATGGCTTTAGGGGGGACATGGAGATATAAACCGTGACTCTGTATCATTGTATCTACCTACCTACCAACCTACCAGCTTATCTCTCGGCCCCTTTATTTCACGTTTTGTAGCTCCGGATAAAAGTGGGCAGAGCAGGCTGGCAGTCACTCTTTCCGCTTGTCCAGACACATGTGTGATTGGCAGGGCATTTTCCACAACTTAATATGAGAGATGGGTGAGCCAGGTGCAGTAGCTCACACCTGTAATCTCAGTACCCGGGAGGCTGAGGCAGGAGGATTGCCGCGAGTGGAAGGCCAGCCCGAATGACACAGTGAGACCCTGTTACAAAATAGCAAACGAGCTGAAAATATGAGTGATAAGCAAATTCTTCCCTGTTTGAGGAAATCACCAAAGCCTGCCACGAATGGCGAGAATCACTCAGGAGCCATGACAGGGAAGTGTCCTCCTCCATGGGAAGCTGGCTGTGGCCTGTCCGGGGTGGGTTAGGGCACCCGCGGAAGAGGATCCAGTCATCTGTGTGTTCACTGAACGTGATATCAGGCCTTCGTGGAGACAGTATCTTTTTGTATTTGATGCCGTGGTTTTCTTTCTGGGACTGAAATGTTAATTTCTGGTTGAAGCCAGCATCCTCCAGCTCCTTTCTTCATCTTCTGCCCTGTTCTGGGGGGGAAGCTTTGGAAATAGGGGGCAGGGTGGGTCGGGAGGAGCTCCCGTCACCCGCCTGTCCCTGCGGATGCCTGTGGAGGTTTTCTGACCCCCGGTGGCGCCCGGGCACTTGGTATCCAGGTGTTGTCTTTACTGGAAAGACTTCAGGCTGAGTCAGCATTGCCGTGCTCGTCTGTCCCAGGAGGTGACCCGGGTGGGGCGGGACAGGGACATGGAGGGCCGCTGTGTGGCTTCCTCCCAAGCTGGGCACCCTTAGCATCTTCCCTTCCTGGAGCTGGGCAGGTCTGCGTGTGTGCCGCCCAAATGACAATAACTCGTAGGAAATGTGAGAATTCTGTATTTTAGACCATTCCCTTCTTAGCAGTCTTCTACATTCAGTTTCTTGTTAAATTTAGTTCTTTTTTATAGCACCTTTTTAAATTCAAGAGTGGAGGGAGCATAGAAAGGTGGCCCTGGGCTTCCGCCCTGCTGAGGGGGAACAGGCGCTAGATTTGAACTTACTGGGTATCCTGAGTTTGAAATCCCTTCATGTCCACATCCCTCCATTTCCTCACGTGTAAAACAGGGTACACACTTGTGGGGTGGTTTTGAGGGAAAAAAATAAACTTGCTTAACCTAGTCCTTGCTCATGGCAGACCAGCAAGGCACCTGGCAGTAACAGGCTTGTTTGGTCAGAGATGGGTGGGTGTATCAGTCAGCTTTCTCTGCTGAGACCCAGCACTGGTCCCCTACAACTTAAAGGAGGAGAGGTTTAACTTGGCTCATGGTTTCAGGGCATTCAGTCCATGGTCGGCAAGCTCTAAGGCAGAAACATCATGGTGGAAGGGCCTGGTGGAGCAGAGCTGCTCAGCTCATGGTGGCCAGGAAGCAGAGCAGGGGACAGCATAAGAGAGGAGGGGGCGAAGGCCCAGACAGAGACCCCAAGGCCATGTGTCCATGACATACCCAGACAACCCAGCAGTGTGCCCACCCTTCCTAGGGTGAATCCCAAGCCAATCCAGTTGGCACCTGCCCTAACTCACAGCTGCTGAGAATAGGAGCTGGGGCCTGGAAGTCAGGTTGCCAGGGTTCAAATCCTCACTCTGCCACTTGCTCTGTGTACTTGGGCAATCATGGAACTTCTCAGGCCCACAGCCCCATGGGGGGACTGAGGCTACATGAGGTCACATACATAAAATGCCAAGCCATGCCACTTCCAAGAGGCAGGTCCTGTATGTATTTCTCTTCCCCGTGTACAGCTTTCCTAAAACGTTTGCGTCTAATGAGGTCCTTTTCTCTTTTTCACGTCACAGATGATACTTCTCGTGTCAAGCTTTCAGTCCAGACCCATTCTACTGATGACTACATCAATGCCAACTACATGCCCGTAAGTGGGCACCGGGTTAGTCCCGCAAACCCTCAGGGCTTCTCCTTCTGTGCCTCGACCCTGAAGCCGTGCCTTCTCTCCTAGGGCTACCATTCCAAGAGGGACTTTATTGCCACACAGGGACCTCTGCCCAATACTTTGAAAGACTTTTGGCGCATGGTCTGGGAGAAGGATGTATACGCCATCGTCATGCTGACCAAATGCGTTGAGCAGGGACGGGTGCGTTATTTTTTAAAAAAATTTCATATTAATCAATTTTTATCATGGTAGAAGCCTTAAAAACCATTTGTCTTCTTAAAAAAAAATATTACTCTCAAACATTGGCACCTTTGTTTGTAGAAATTTGTTTTCCGTCTTTCCAGTTTCTTGGCTGGGTTAGCAAATAGCAGGAGTGAGGAGTGTGTCCCAGAATAAGGCACAGTAGTTGCTTGGCTCGAAATCAGTTTTTATGAGGAAATGATGGCCCAGCACGGGCCGCTCTAGTTCTTAAAGCAAACCTGAGTTTTCATGAGAAAGCGCCCCATTTGAAAAGACTTGGCAAGAGTTTTAAATTGAAAGCAAGCAAACTATCCTGAGGGTCACAGAGAACCCAGCCAGGGGACTGACTCGGTCCCCAATGCCAGTTTCATTACTCGTGCTTCCTTTTCGTTTTTGAGACAGGGTCTCGCTATGTAGCCAAGGCTGGCCTTGAACTCATGGCGATCCTCCTGCCTCAGCCTCCCATGTGCCATCTTGCCTTGTCTTCCTTTTGAGGCTTTAGTGATGGCAGAGCTGTGTGTTTTAATAAAAATGCAATTTTATTCTAGACCAAATGTGAGGAGTACTGGCCTTCTAAGCAGGCCCAGGACTATGGGGGCATAACTGTGGCGATGACATCAGAAATTGTCCTCCCGGAATGGAGCATCCGAGATTTCACAGTGAGAAATGTAAGTAAGAGGTCCAGGCAGCTAGAGCTCAGAAAATTGCCATCTATAAACTTTGGGGTATATTTTAAGTTGATATTAACTAATATTTTATGCATCAGAGAAAAATTCACTTTTCTTTCTACATGATAAAATGATCTATCTTCATGTATACTCCAAGCAACCCATAGCTTTACTTTCTTGAGGGAAATTTCACATTTTCCTGAATGAGGTGACTCTCAAGGGCGTGGCTCTGGCAGTAAACCTTCCTCTCCTCCCACTCCAGGGTGACTTGCTCATGGGATTTTTGTCACAGGCCATGGCCTTTTGAATTCCTTGGTTGGATGGGATCAGGAGGCACCGTTGCCATTAGGAGCGTTTTATAACAGATGCATACAGCGGTGCCTCGGTTCACAAACTTAACTTGCTCCACTATTCTGGGGAAGACGGCTGCTCTTGTTTGGTCAGCTGATGCGGAGTTCATGAACGGAGGCAAAATTTTGGTGCACGATTCTGTTTGTGAACTGAGTTGTTTGTGGACAGAAGTGTTCGTGAGCCAAGGCATTCCTGTAGAGGGATTCCTGGGCATGAGCACATTGTTTCCTTTACCCCCAAAGTGACAACTACATTAGTGCAGGGGTTTTAGGAAGTGGAGTTTGTGTCCTTTTTCTTTTTTTGAGGCTGTTTGAAAGAGGCAGTGCCACGAAGTGACTCTGGTCTCTACTGATGGGTGTGGGAATACATTTAACCCTTTGCAGTTCATATCCGGGGCCTAGAAATGCACCTCCCCTTTGATCTCATGGCTCCAAGTCTTGGTCCCAGATAAATACTCTGAAATCCAGGAATAGAATTATTTGTCAAAAAGATGAATGCCAGCCTTATTGGAATGGAGGAAAATACTGGAAACCATGAGAATGTCCAGCCTTCCGAGAACGGAGGACCACACCGTGACTTCACTGCTTTCGGTGTCAGCGCTCAGCTGTCGAAGGGCCGGGTGTAGACTCCACGGCCAGCCCTGCTTGCCCATGGGTTCTGCATCCATGAATTCAGCCAAGTTGGGATCAGAATTATTTGGAGAAATACTGTGTCTGTACTGAACACGTGCAGACTTCCTTTTCTGGTCATCTTTCTCTAAAGAACACAGAGTAACAACTGTTTGTGTAGCATCTATGCTGTAGTTCAGGTATTGTTAACCTAATTGCAGTCTAGGTATTATAAGCAGTTCGGGATGATTTATAGTACCATTCTGTGTTACTTCATGGCAGGGATACATTCTGAGAAATGTGGACAGTGCAGCGACTGACACACCTGGGTTCGGTGTGCGTTGGTCACATAGGTGCAGCGCTGTTGGCTGAAACACTGCACATGCCCGAGACCTGCATGCAGATACTGTGCCATTCACTGTACCTAAGCCAGTGGAGCGTGCATGGATTTTCATATCAGAGGTCCTGGAACCACTGTCCACAGACACTGAGTGACGACTGTAGTCAACACAAGATGTTAGGATGCAGTCTAAGTGAGACACATTCTTGAGACAAAAGCTCACGCAGACTGAAAGGCCTGGAAGCAGATTCAGTGAGCCTTACGAGGTGTGGGTTGGGTTACAGCTTCAGGGATTATCTGTGAAGACTGTGTCACGGGTGAAGGGCAGTCTAGGAAAAGCTCATTCTTTACTAACTGCTGTGTCTCAGAGTCTGGCCTCCGTTACTGTTCTTGTTCTTCTGCGGGAGGTGCTTCTCACAGTTACCGCACACTGATTCCTGCACCAAGTTCACAGCAATGAAAACACCTTTGAAATGTGTCTCTGTGGACTCGCTTGTCCGTGGTTGCTTACACTGCGTGGGCTTCATGCTTGTCGGGGGAGTAGTGTGTGGAATTGTTTCATTGCTCTTGCTAGGTGGGCATGATGGTGCATGCTGTTATCCCAGCACTCTGGGAGCCTGATGCAGGGAGCCCAGCTCAGGCAGTGTAGCAATTAAGGGAGGCCCTGTCTCAGAATAAAAAGTACAGAAGGGCTGGGGGTGTAGCTCAGTGTGAAAGCCCTGGGTTCAATCCCCGGTTAAAAAAATTGCTATTGTAATTTTTAAAAAATAAATTCAGATTTCACATATTTCTACTAAAGCCTTTTCTTATTCTAGGAGTCAATCCTGGATACCACATGACATTTAGTAAAATATTGTTTTTTAATTACGCAAAGTGCACTGACACATTTTCCTTTTAAACCCAAGAACGGAACAGACAGAGCCCACTGCTGTCCACTGCCCTGAGTGTTTGCTCGGTGCATGGCTGCCTGTGGCCCCTACTTAGACCCTCTGGGGAGGGGACACTGGGTGGTTCCTGGGATTTGGCAAATCACATTTGGTTTTGTGGTTGGAGTGGTCCCAGGGGGGCCCCGGGTTCACCGGGCTGTAAGGTGGTGGGGGTGTAAGATGTGAATCTGTTACTGGTCAGCAGCTGGAGTGGGGAGAGATCTGAACTCAGACCCAGTGTGCTTGGTATTTTGCTGCCCCTGAGCTAAGACAAGTGTTGGGGAATTCACCCCACTTGTCCGAATCTCGGCTCTTTCTTTTTGGGGGAGGGGGACATACTGAAGGCTTGAACCCTAAGCCTTCATACTGAGCTACATCCTTGGCTTATTTTATGATTATTTTTTTATTTTAAAAGTTTGAGACCGGATCTCACTGTGCCACTAAGTTGCCAAGGTCAGGCTTGAGCTTGCAATCTTCCTGCCTCAGCCTCATGCAGTGCTGGCATGACAGGTGGTCACCACCACACCTGGTTTGCTCACTCGGCTCTCCAAGGGGGACTATCAGCCCCCCTCTTGGGCATGTGAGGAGGATTCGATGAATGAGACAGAGTGTGCCAACACCCCGCAGCTGGTGTGCGAGCGTAGCGTTTTGATTCCTAGCATAACAATGCTGTTGAGCTCCCATCTGTCCCAGCAATTCATTGTCCAGGCTCTGCCCAACTTCTCTTGCCTTTCCATGTCCCCAGGCAGTTGTGTCTGTGCCTCTGACCCCTCTGCTGACTTTTAGGTCCAGACAAGTGACAGTCACCGGCTGAGACAGTTCCATTTCACCTCCTGGCCTGACCACGGTGTTCCGGACACCACAGACCTGCTCATCAACTTCCGGTACCTGGTTCGTGACTACATGAAGCAGAGTCCTCCGGAGTCCCCGATTCTGGTGCACTGCAGGTACAGGTGGCGTGCATGTGTGACAGCTCGGGTGTACCCTTGTGTTTCTGAGTGCTGCAGAAATGCGCTAGGTGTTTCTGATTCAAGAACGTTGCAGGAGGTCCATGCGTGGCTTATTCCCTGGGCCCAGAGATTCCAGTACAGGGCTTGGGAAACTACAGTCTGTGGCCAGATCCAGTGGGCTGCTTGTGTTGTCAACAGAATGTCACTGCAGCAGCTGTGCCCCTGGTTTGCGTGTTGCTAACGGTTGGATTTGTGCTACAGTGGCAGAGACCATGTGCTCTGTGGAGCTGAAGATATTTGTCCATCGCTACTCTAGAACAATAAGAAATTAGCTTTAAAGTTAAAGGAATTAAGATGGGCGTAGTGGTGCATACCTGTAATCCCAGCACTCAGGAGGCTGAGCCAGGAGGGTCGCCGAGAGTTCGAGGCCAGCTTGGGCTATATAGTGAGACCCTGTCTCAAAAAAACAAACCAAAAAATACAATTAAAGAAATTAACTTAGGGCAGAAGAAAGAGTGGCTTTGTTGCCTGTGGGGAACAGATGAATAGAACTGACCCTTCTAGGCTACCCTAGCAATTTGAATGGGACTGAGATTTAAGAGGCTCTAACAAGGCATCTTATCTGTGACACTGAGCTCAAAAGTAAGTGTGGGACTCAGGCCTCGGTGCCAAGGTAGCGAAGCCTGACTTGGTGAGGTTTCCAGAGAACAGTGTTTGCTCAGATCCATTGCCCTAAATGGTGGCCTTGGCCAAGAGCCAGGTGCGAGCAGAGGTAGGGCAATGGGGAGGTCCGTGGAGGAGGCACCGTGCTGACGTGCCACTTTCCCTCCCTTTCAGCGCGGGCGTTGGGAGGACAGGCACTTTCATTGCCATCGATCGTCTCATCTATCAGATCGAAAACGAGAACACGGTGGATGTGTATGGCATTGTGTACGACCTCCGCATGCACCGGCCCCTCATGGTGCAGACAGAGGTGAGGTCTGACCCTTCCCGCCTCCCATCCCTGTCTGGAGGATGATGTGAGATCACACAGTGGGCGTGAAATAGTTTGCACTTCCGGGCCTCGCTGGCCTTCTGTCACGTGACACTGGCTTTCTTGGCAGCCTCTGAGCGGAGCCGATACAGGCAGCACAGTAGGACTGGTGTGAGGAATGGACCTCACACCCTCATCCATCAGCATGTTCTTTACCGTACGCCTGTGACTTATCAAATAATCTCCCCAAGCCTCCAGACTCGGCTTCCTGGGTTTAAACTTATGAAATTGGTATTTTTCACTCCTTGTTTCTAAGCAGGTCTGACTGTCTTTTAACATGTGCTGATGAAATAGGCTTATCAAGCTGGATGTGGTGGCACACACTTGGAATCCCAGCACTTTGGGAGGCTGAGGCAGGAGGATCACAAGTTTGAACCCAGCCTGGGGAATTTGGTGACTGTTTCAAAGTAAAAATAGAAGGGCTGGGGATATTAGCTCAATGTAAGGCCCTGGGTTAATCCCCAGTACCACAGCCAAACCAAAACAAAACAAAGCAAAAATGAACAAGCAACCAGACTTATCAATCATGAATGTCAGGAAGTAGCCCGCCGTGTTTAAGTGTGAAGCAGTGTGCCTTCACCTAGCCCTCTAAGTATGAGAGAAAGAAAGTTCATTACCAGAGCTCCAGGGTTGCCCCGAGACGAGGACAGAACATTCACTTCCCAGCAGGCCATGCTCTGAACCGGGGGAGCTCTCCTGTGCGTGCACTGAGTCTGGGAGGGAGTGCTCCCGAGTCTGGGTCCACTGCATGCTTTGTTTTGGGGAGCTGCAGTTGGGGCTGGTTCATTCCTGTGTTGGTCAGAAGAAGATGTTCACGTCTTCTGCTCTAACTATGCAGAGTAGTATTTCTTAATCTCTTATGCTCCTTTGAGGACCAGAAATTTTATGCTTGCAGACACTTTTCTCATCTCTTTTTTATGTTTCCAGCACAATAATCAGTCACATAGATGTATACATATATTTTTGTTTTCATTTTTTTGAGACACGGTCTCTCTATATAGTTTAGGCTGGCCTTGAACTCATGGCGATCCTCCTGCCTCAGCCTCCTGAGAATACCTAGTCATATTACAATTTTTAATAATATAGGAGTATGTAGAATATATTTTTCCTTTTCCTTTTTTCCCCCTAATCCTGCTTCCTAGAGATGGGCAGTATGTATAGTTGGGCAGGTAACTTTATTTGTTATTTATTTATCTTTTGTAATGGATATTTAGCCCAGGGTCTTTGTACTGAGCTATAATCCCAGCCCCTTTTGTTGTTTTGTTTTTTGAGACAGAGTCTCCATATGCAGTCCAGACTGGCCTCGGACTGGAGGCGATCTTCCTGCCTCGTGGGCATGTATATTTAAAGCCCTCTTTTAAAATTTTATTAGTACATGTTTGCAGTATATAATGTTTACATTCCCTGTGGGGATCTGGGACCTGCACATAACACATCCTAATCCCATTTAGTGCCTGCCCCCCCCCCCCCCCCCGCACCTGCTTCCCTCCATCTCTACATCCTCTTCCTTCTTTTTTTCTCTTTAAACTGTTTATACCTGGGACTTCTCATATAAGAGAAGTTATGTGATATTTAAGTTTAAATGTCTGATTTCACCTCACGTCATGCTCTCTGTAAACACATATGCACTCGTGTGTGCATGCACACTCACATGGAGTGTTTGGAAAAATCTCGTCCTGTTTTGGGTGTGACACTTCCTTGTGATGCCTTCCCCTCGCGGTTTTGCAGATCCCTTTCTGCATCAGCTTATACCTCCTCCCCCTTTTGTACAGGCCAACTGCGGCTCCCGAAAGCTTGCCCAAAGTGGTCCCCCAAAGCTTGCCGTCTGGCCCCCACACGATCACCCCTAAAGGTGCCTCCTCTTTTAAGAGCTCCAGGGTCCTCTCGCTCCACTCGGCCCGGCCCAGGCAGTGGCGCTGGACCCCGTGGTTGAGGAGCACACGGTGGCGTCTCCTCAGCTGCAGGGAGAGTGTACTCCCTATGAGTCACTCATGCACAAATCCCGTCTGAGCTTTCTGATGGTCACCCGGCTCTTCCTACCTCGTAACATCCGACCCCCAGCTGCTTGCTGTCGGGCAGTGGGAGCCGAGTTGGGGGCTCAGCCCAGGGCCTGGCTCATGTACTCACTCTCCTTTTGCTCTCAGGATCAGTATGTGTTCCTCAACCAGTGTGTCTTGGACATCGTCCGATCCGAGAGGGACCCCAAAGCGGACCTGATCTACCAGAACACCACCGCCATGACAATCTACGAGAACCTGGAGCCGGTGGGCGCGTTCGGAAAGACCAATGGGTACATCGCCTGACTCCGAAGCGGAGGCCGGGAGGGCAGCCGGAAGTCACCCCACAGCCCAGAAAAACGCCCCTTCCACCTGTTTTCCTGCGTTGTCTCAGATCTCAGCTCTGTTCTGTTCTGCTAGGACCACGTGGTCTGCAGGCTGGAAGTCGACACGGGACCAAGGTGCAGCAGGGGCCGGCCACTCCCCTTCCCGATGCCAATGGGAAGAGTCCACTTTTCATTTTCCTTGAAAATTGTGGAAAACCAGGAAAAGTAACGGATGATTTTTTTGCTTTTTCAAAATAGGTTCTTAAAAGAAAAAAACAACTACAAAAGACTATTTTATAGGCTTCACATGCTCAAGCCAGGATTGTGTCGGGTTGAATCTATTTTAAGTATCAGAGGTCTATTTTTGCCTACTGTGTCGTGGGGTCGAGCAGATGGAAAACACACAATTGCAGCGGTTCTTGTGTGAGGAGGGGTACGCGGTGCCTCTTCCGCTTGGGTTTTCTATTTGAACATGTGCCTTTTCTGAATTATGCTTCCACGGGCAAAACTCAGTAGATTTCTCTATTTTTGTATTGAATCTCATAATTGGAATATAGGGAATTTAAACAGTAGCTTAGCAGGAGGTTCGCCTTGTAACATTCCTGTCCTGTTGATGAGAAGGTGCCCCTCCTGCCACCCCAGATACTCTGTATTCCCTTTTTCTTCCCTTTTCCTCTGCCAGTTTCCTCCAAAGACTTCTGTTGCAACATTTGTAGCCCATTGATTGGGTGAGAATGGAAACTGAGTATCTCCTAGAGTATCTCTTGGGCAGTCTGCATGCCCAGGTAGCCCTTTCTTTGTTCCTGCCTCCTTTCTGTCTTTGGTAAGAAGGATTATTTAAAGGTGCAATATGTGACTTGTGATTCCTGATGCTCTGGGTTTTTAGTAACGTTTTACTCAGGTTGGCATTTTTATGTGTGTCCGTGTGTCTGTGTACTGTGTGCGTGTGTGTGCGTTTTAAAAAACGTGGCAATCTGTGAACACTTCAGTGTGAACTCAGTGTCAGGTGAATCCCTCCTCCCCCAAGTCCACTGGCTTTGTCTGTCCACGGTGACACACCTTGGTATCTACTGTATATATAAACCCTCCTGCATCAGTCGTTCCTAGGAATTGAGGTGTACAAAGTTTGATTTGTATCAAAGATGTAATTATTATTTTTAAAACCTCTTTTCACTATACTGCTGCTATAATTACTTTGATTTAAAAAAACGTAGATTATTATTTTTTTTTGCCTTCAGGTTGTGTATTCACCAAGGATTTCAGAATTTATGTGGGTTTATTTTATTGGTACCTAATCTGTAAACTTTGCAAGGCATTAACATGAAAGGATCGGTTTCTTTTCTTTTATGCGGTGGCTCAGGTTATATGTGGAAGACGTTTTGAGTTTCTTCTCCAATAGGCAATGAAGTATCTGCGGTCTGATGAAGGAAGCACCATGCCCCGGAGTCCTGTGGCCGATTTCTGCTCAGGACACAGGTTTCCTGTTGACAATGGGACTGGGGCTTCAGGGGGCCTGGTCCCCATCCCGGCCGCTGCGCACCTCACCGGCACTTTGATGACAGCCTGGACGTGGATGGGCACCTTAGTGCTTGGAAGGGTGAAGCGCAGTGTGCCTGACGCCCCAGGCTGCTGTTCAGTGCCATCTGTCTTCTGTCCCCTGACTCTTTGGGGTACTGAAAGCATTAAAAGGAGGGTCGCGGTGGCCTCCTGTTTGGGAGTGAATTTTACTTCTCAGATGGAAGTTGCACTTTTTGCTGAATCCCTCACTGTTTCCTGTCCTTCCAGCAGTGAGCGGGTGGACCTGGCTGGCTCAGGTCCTCCGGCATCGAGGGCCTGGGTCACCCGAAGCTGGCTTTGGGCAGGCCGCCCCCAACTCACCGGCAAGAGGGCTCCAGGGCTTCACCTGCTACTGTGGGCCACGCTCCTCCCCTCTGTCAGGAACCTCCTGGGAGGCAGCTTCCTAACCCCTGCCCTGCCTGTGTTACTGCCCTGGAGAAAGCACAGGAAAGGCTTTGCCCTTCAAAAGATATCAGCCAAGTAATTGTAAACATACTGCATAAAAATGCGGGCGGGCTGGCTGGAGGCCTGAACTGCACAGCACGACCCTGTCTCAGAAGAAAAAAAAGCAAGCAAAGCCCAGCAATCCTCCTCCCTCCGCCTGACCCGGGCTTGGGAAATATTCGGGCAGCAGCCACCCCGCCTCACTCCGTCCAGTCCGGTCGGTCCGTCCCAAGAGGTCTGGAATTCAACCGGAAGGTCACACGAAGGTCAGGATGCTCCTGGTCCTCAGGACTGGGTGGGGCTTGGGGGCGGAGGTTATTTATAGTCTCTGGGAGGGAAGATTCCTGTGTAAAGGGAAGGAGGCCGGGGTGGGCAGGACCCTCGGGGAGGACCCAGGGGCATCGCGGAGGCCGCAGGCTCCGGGAAAGGACAAGGGGCATCGCTGCCTGTCGAGAACAGACTGTCTGTCCAGCGCTGAGGCTGGAGACCGCCGGCGCCGCGGCCTGCAGCTGGACTCGGTGCCGCTGGATCCGTGCTCGGTGCCGCTGGATCCGTGCTTTGTGGGATCATCGAGGCAGATGATTCTGTGTTTTGGTTTTAGCTGGCGTGAAAAAGTCTGGTTTTCGTTTGCAATGCTTGATGGCGCTTGTCGAGCTCAGCAAGTCTTGGGGACTGGTGGGGACTGGCCTCGGAAGTGCAGGTCGAGTCCTCAGCTGCCTGTTGAACATACTGTAGCTTTTCTCTCCCTCCGGGGGGCGCATATGAATAGGATGTGTTGATGTGGACTCTAAAGTGTAATTTTCTTGTAACTATTTTGGAATGATGCATATTTCTAATGTTGGTTATACTTGTACAGAGTATTGCTGTTGGTTGCTTTTTTTTTTTTTTTTTTAAAGGAAAAAATGGCCTGGAAAAAAATTTTTTTTTAAAAAGACTTACAAATACCAAATATAAAAACTGTCAACACAAGATGCTTTCATTTCTTTCTTTCCTTGTTCCCTGTCGGGCCCTCCTACTTTATGTCCATACCCTGCACCAGTCAGGCTAGCGGCTACTATGCAGAGTGGGGTATTCTTAGCAAAAACACTCGGATTTCCACAGAGCTTTAGTTTTCTGGGGCTGCCGTTGCAAATGCCACAGACTGGGTTGTTGAAACAAAAGGAACATATTTTCTCACAGTTCTGGAGGCCAGGGGCAGAGGTCGGGCTGTCCTGCCTGAGCACCTGTCTAATCTCTTCTGGCTTTGGCTCTTGCCCGCATACTTCAGGCTGGCCTTGAGCTCACTGTGCAGCCCAGGCTGGCCTCGAATTTGCAGCAATTCTCCTGCCTCAGCGTCCCGAGTGCTGGGATCACAGGTGTGGATTTTTTTCCCAGGCAGCTTTAACCTCTGCACGTGAGGACTCCGGTCAGTTTGGATTAGGGCCTCCCTTTCCCTACCTCCCCTGTCTCCAGGGACCTCTGTAAAGACTCCATCTTCCAGTGCAGTCCCCTTCTGAGGATGAGGGGTTCGGAGATCAACATGAGTTTTAGGGGACAGCTCAGCCCTTGACACACATCCAGGGGGTTCAGGGGAGACTCGGGACAGCTGTGTGCCTGCAGCAGGGTCGCCCTCGAGGGTCGCAGGGACAGACGCCCAGGAGTTTAGGGGCTTTGGTGGATGGTTTGGGGATCCTGGAATTGCGGGGACCCTGAGTGAATCCCGCAGGACTTCTCGGGGCTGCGGATTCCACTGCCTCTGCATCTGCAGGGCTTAGGTTCTGATGCGGGGACCACAGGCAGCGACCTCGATGGAGGGGAGCACTCGGGAGGGGAGCACTCGGGAGAGGCTTTGGCTCTGGGCTGAGTCACCTCCTCCTCCGCCCGCCCTGCGCTGAGGAGACAGCGGTGAAAACCTGCAGTGCGCGCTCCACCATCCTCGCTCTGGGGAGAACCACACAGACAGACAGACAGGGTTAGGACAGTGGCCATGGTGGTGACAGGTGAGTGATTTAATGCTGCTTGTGTAGTTGGCTAAAATAAAACTTTAAAATATCACACAAGGTGTGTGTGTGTGCACAAGTGTGTGGATGCAGACCCAAATGTGTAGGCAAACACACACACACACACACGCGTGCGCAGGGAGTGTGCCCTGCCTTGTTCAGACGGGAGCTGTGCGGTGGGCGTGGGTGCCATCATGAGGAAGGAGGCCTGGAGACTGGGAGGGTGCGGCCCACAGTAGGCGCCATGGGAGCCAAGAGCCCTGCCTGGCTGTGGGCCCCTGACTGTCTAGACCCGCACCCAGCACGGCCATCACCCTCACAAGCTCTGTCCCCCTGTTTCTCCTCCTCTCCTCCCAGAACCTCTCTGGAGACCCTGGCTGGAGCCTGGCCGCACCCTGAGTGCAACACAACCAGCCTGCATCCCAGTGCCCCGGACTCTCTGACCCAGCAAGAGTGAGACAGTGTCATACACACACGGCAGCCCTGTGTGTGTCCAGGTCACCTGGACTCTCACCTACGAGGATTTGCTCGGGATGTACGGCGGCACAGGGGCGGGGCCAGGCGAAAAGCTGGCAGCCTGGGCCTTCCCTCCCCACAAATTCTCCTCCGCCCAACCTGTGACAGCCACAGACTCTTCACTCCGGGGCAGCCCTGGGTGGCCGACAGCCTGCGCTTGTCGGGGAGTGGGGAGTGCAGAAAGCACTGCCTGTTGGAGACTCAGCCCCCACAAGTCTGGGATACGACTGACATCTCTTTAAGCCATGAGAGCTTTCTTAGATGTCAGCTGCAAAGAAGGTGTCTAATCGCCGCTGTTTTGACCCTGATGTCATTTGGCTGCCAGACTTTCCCTCGGGACCCACCCTTATATCCCAGACCCCACTGCTGACTTGGGGCCAGAAGGAAAAAAGATGACAGCAGGCTAGGGGGTGGAGGCACACCTGTGATCCCAGCACTCGGGAGGCTGAGGCAGGAGGATCACAAGCTGGAGGCCAGCCTGGGCTATGTAACGAGACCCCGTCTACAAAACAGACAACACAAAAATAAAATGTAAGGAAAGAAAAAATAGATGACAAGTCCTTTGCACATGAGTGTTGTTAATGTTTTGGTTTGAGACACTTGGCGTGTTGCCTGGCACAGAGCAACAGTAAGTGGCAGCGATTCATTTATCAACCAAAGTTTTTATTGATTGTTGTGATGCGTGGCAGGGAGTTCAGAGCATGTGCTTTTGTGGACAGAATAGAAGTGCTCGCTGCTTTTGTGGAATGAAAGGATCTGCAGGAGAGGCGGGGTGAGGAAGGGATCAGTCCGGGTCTTCCATGCTGTCTCTAACGAGAAGGAGGAGTCAGAAGAGGCTGGAGCGCACCAAGGCCCAGGCAGCGGTGTTGCGCACTGTTTAAAGAAACCGTCCCCCTTTGTTGGTAGGTGTTCGTGATGCATAATAAAGACACTCATCTCAGGGAACTGCTGCACACGCAGGGCGCATCCTGATTCTTCCCCTCCATCCCCTTGTTCCGGACTCAGATCTCCTTCCCATCTCCACAGTCGACCTCTTTGTTTTCTATCATCTACCTTTCATCTTGCTCTTTAAGTTAAGTATACTTCAGGTTTCTTATATAAGAGAAGACATGCCACAGTTAACCTCCTGCGTCTGATCTATTACTTAGCATTATGGTCTAAAGGTGCATCATTTCCTACAGATGACTCAGGTTTCCTTTTTTATGGCAGAGTAGCACTCCCCTGTGAAAACACCACTCTTCTGTATCCATTCGTCTGTTGATATGCATATCGGCTGCTTCCAAGATTTGGCTACCATGAGCTGCGCCACTGGAAGCATGGCCGTGCATGGGTCACTGTGATGTCTTGAACTCTTTTGGGGAAGAGTCCTAGGAGGGGAACAGCTGGGTCAATGGAATTTCTAGTTTTAGTTTTTTGCGACTCTCTACACCAATCTCCTTAGTGGTCGTACCAACAGTGTAGAGGGGTCTCCTTCGGCCCCGCAGTCTGACCAGTGTTTATTATTTCGTATCTCAATGACGGCCAGTCTTTCTGGGCTAAGATGGAACCTCAGTGAGCTTCGGGGAGACTGAGGTCTCCAGAGAGCAGCTGTCCAGGGAGCAGAGACCACAATGCAGCGGGAGGTCAGTCTGTGGGCAGCAGGGCTGTCGGGATGGTGGTGCCCCTGGGTGACAGTGAGTGTGGAAGTGGGTGTGGAGCAGTGTGGTCTAACTTGGCCGAGAGCACGGAGGCGCGTGCTTCGGTGTGAACGCCCGCCCCCCGCCCGCCCCACTCGTGTCCTGGATCCCTAACCCTGGCAAGGACTCGGGGGTGTGGCCGGAAGGCTGGTCCTTCTCTCACTGCCCACCCGCCACAGACGCGGACTCCGCCGGCGCCTCCTGAGCGCCCTCGGGCCGGTGAGAGGTTTCCGTCCTTCGTAAGCCTCCCAGTGGGTGGCGCTTCGCCGCAGGCCCCTGGGTGGACAGTGCTGGCAGCAGGACAGCGAGAGGAGAGGGCCCTGCCCTGCTCTGATGTGGACGAGGCCGTGATCACTGCTATCAGACTCACCGAGTTCCGGTCACTGCTATCAGACAGCGTCGGGCAGCGCTGTCCCTCGGCCTGGGCCCGGGATGCGTCCTTAGGGCTGAGCTGCCTCAGCCAAATCGCCCCAGGGGCACCTGCCCAGCGCTCAGGTTAGGCCGGCCCGGGGGCGCTGCATCCCCCTCCCCAACCTGTGATCCAGGCAGCTGCTCCCGGAGAACCTGAGACCACAGGCCTGCTTGTCACGTGGCGTTTTTTTGTGGTGACACATAGCTAGTATTTGGTGGGGTTGAGATTCGAATCAACTCCAAACCGTAGTTCTTTGTTGCCTTCAAAATAGGGTTTAAAGCAGGTTGTCTTGTTTTGTTTTTTTGAGACAGGGTCTTGCTATATAGCTCTGGCTGGCCTTGGACTCACTGTGGAGCCCAGCCCAACCTCAAACTTGAGGGATCCTCCTGCCTCAGCCTTTTGAGTGCTGGGACCATGGTGGGTGCCACCATGCCCGGCTTATCCGTGTACTTTAAAAAAACTAGGCTGAACAGCAAAATGATACAGCATTCAGGTGGCTTCTGAAAACTTGCACTTAGTTTGATAAAGGTATAAACTAGAAACAGCGTCATGGGAAATATCAAACTGTCAAGCTGAAGTGACAAGAGCAATGTATAGAACTATAAATAGAAAAAATTCCATTCAAATTAGATAAGTGCCTAACTGGAGAAGGACAGCTAGGATAATGTAACACTGGGATTGTGAGTGGTTTCTATTATTTTTATTTGCATGTATTTCCTAATTTCTCCCAATAAATATGGAGTACGTACAGAGTAACTGGTTAAAACCAGTATTTTCCCTCTTTGTTTCTAAGGTCCTGATGTGGGTGAATGCGGAAGATCTCTGCGGCTTCTGTGAGAAAACACGCAAGCCCGGACCTTACCGGCGACACCCTACTAATGTCACCTTGCAGGCCAGGGACGTCTGCGCCCCACGTTGAGCCGCGGTCAGCTGCAGTTTTGGGCGCCGTCACTAGAAGGCGCCAGAGGACCAAGGAGAGGACACAAGGAGAGGTGTGGTTGCAGAGGAAGGAACAGGCCTGGCGAAGGAACTGGGCTGTCCTGAGAGAAGCCCCACAGTCAACATCAGGGCCAGAAAGTGCCCTGATCAGCGGCTGGTGGCTTTTTCTTTCTAAAATATGTGCATGGGAAAAAAATGTAAGACATTCAGTACAGGAAAAAAAAAATCTCGCCTGAAATAAAAAGCACCAGCTGACAAGATGGTCCCCAGCCGCTGGGCCTCTTGGTACCTGTGCCTGTGTGCGGTCCCTGCCCACACTGTAGCAGGGTTGTGGTGTGACCAGCAGGACACTGAGGCCGTGATGGTATCTCGCTTCTGGGATCAGGTCATAGAGCACTGTGGCTTCTTGCTTGTCCTCATCTGGGGTCTCTTGCTCTTGGGGGACAC